CCATCTGCGTTTTGACTGTTTCAAACAGAACAGGGTCAGCCGCCAGGTCGGGTAACTCCGCACATATGAATTTGTCAACATCAGGAGAATGCAGTTTTTCCAGCAGCCAGACCAAAATGTGTCCGTGTGGCAATCCTCTCTTTTGCCGCTCGACAGTGTACATAAGGTGTTGTAATGGCTTCCCAAAGCTAGATTTGTGCCGCCAGTTTCTTTGTGTCAGTTCAGCACGGAGAACAACGAACAAGGTCGTAAAGAAAGGAAAGGAAATCGTTTGTTATCCTTTGAACAGGGGCCATATGTTAAGCAGAGTTATACATGGGGCCAATCAGGTTGTGTCTTCATGTGCCTAGAGGCTTGGTTGGCCATCACGCGCGCGCTCCCAGCGGCGCACGCTTTTATCCTAGCCAGCTTGTGTGACCTTTGTCCTTTATCTGTGGGCAGCGGGCAGATAACGTGACCTGAAAGTTCACTCGGACCGCTTGTTGCGAATAATCCCAACACGTCCCCGGTTTGAGATGAAGCTTAGGATTTTAGACGCGGATTAACCTGCAGCGGAACCGTTTGCGTTCTTCTCTGGCCTGATCGTCTAAGGTATTGAGGATATTGACTTTGCACTGTAACTGCAGCTTCTTGCTTTGGTTTTGGAAAATCGAAAGTGTCAAGTAGCAGTTTCATGGATAAATTTGGGCTTGAATTTGTCGCGTCAGTACATTTGGTGTGTTTCATCTGATTGGCGTGGCGTACCCAAATGTCTGAGCCGATCTGAATCTCGTAGACAAAATCACATTTTCAGTGAACATATCCAAACGTCCACTTCTCCTGGTTGGTCCTATAATCCTTTGCCAGCACCATCTCGCCCGGATGGAACAGTCGTTGCTTAGCCCCGTGGCGTCGATTGAATTGTCGTTCCATTGACGTCGGCTGGACCGGTTCATCTCCAACACTGACAGATGACAGCGGGCGAATTACATTGAATGGTGTGCAAAGCTTTCTATGCATCAAAGCTTCTGCAGGAGACACCGTCTGGGGCGTTTGGGTTTGAGGTGGCTCGATAGTTCTGCAGGAACAGTTCAAGAGCTTCCTCAGTCGTCCCCTCCCCTTTTGACTTCTGCAGAGCCCGCTTGAAGGTGTCGACGAACCGCTCAACCTGTCCGTTGGACTGCGGATGATATGGTGGTGACCGCACGTGA